TACAGTGAATGGGGTTGGTGCGCACCGTGAGGAATATTGTAACCCTTCAGTGCAGTAGGCTCAGATGAGATGGAGGACTAGATTTAATCTGTATTTTCAAAATTGCTCTGCCTGAGGTGTATGACTTCACAATAACCCAGAGGTCATGTGGAATTCAAATCTGTTATTAGATGCCCTCGGGGAGTATTTCATTCATTACTCAGCTGTGATTTTCTCTATTGTTTCTTAAGAAGAACATAAATATGTCACATGCAGGTTGTATTTAGGGGAATGATCAGTCAATACAAGATGTTGCTGTGAGTCTGGTAACATCTGTTTGTTACCTTTTAGAAATGAGATGATGCATCTGCTGCTGCAAAAATACTAACAATTCTGAAAAATAACATTCAAGAATGTTTTAGTTAAAGACAGAAGCCGTGTCCAAACTCAGGGGCAGTGTCCTTCGAAGGACCCGGCCCACCAGGTGTCAAATTAACCTGAGAACCATCTGCCTCAGGCCGAGAGAGACGGAGGAGAGTGAAGATTCGTCCATGTTTAAAGGAATTCTGACCCCAGCTGGTATCGAGTCGCCTCTGATTCAGTGAGGAGGTGCCACCGGCCAACACGGACTGGGTCCTTTATCGACTGCAAAGACCAGAAGAAAGGGGCTGTGAATTTGGACGGTCTAGCCTTCAGCTTTGTTCCCAGCCTTACCCCAGCGTATGTCCTGTCGCTTAGCAACTGTGACGGCACTAAACAAAAGCAATGAAGATTGAAATTAGCAAAATATTAATATTATAAACTAACACGATTTAGCTTAGTGGCAATACATGAAGAACTAAAGGACTCGCCATACGAGTTCGTTTATGATGGTTTCTGACAAGAATAAAGCCTAAATTTGACAGGATCGGAGCAGGACAAATCCGGGGCGCAGGCGAGGTTCAACAAGGCTAGCAAAAAGCTTTAATTTAAACAAAAAGGCTGGCCAAACTGTTATGGCAATATTTATTTAACAAAGAGAGAAATACATGGTCCAAGAATGAAGGTACTCCGTGAGATGATCAGCTGAGTTTTATTGCAACAACAGGAAACACAGAGAACCTGGCCTGTCTCTGTGCCTCTGCTTCTCTCTGACACTGTGTCTCCACACTACTCACTGTCTGTTGAGAGGCCTCATATATGTATTAACAAACACCATTATGTCATCTTAGCAAGATTTGATACAAGGTCAATGGAAAACACAAAGATAAACACAAGTGATATCTAAGAATGATTATTGTTGTTAGCAAATCTTGTTCTGACTTTAATCATTCTATCTGCAGATGAACAGCATGTCATGAAAACCTAGGTCATTAAAGGATGTCATGAATTACTAGCTTAAACATAAAAGTATTAATTCCACCACACTCCCCCATCTGATCATTAAATCACCAATTAAATGATCAATAAAACAAAAAACTCTAATGTTTTAAAAAAACATGTCAACATAAACCTAAGTATATGTACTTTTCTGAAATCCCAACCCCAGTAATTCAATTTTTATTCTTCCCACAATACTAACCCCAAAACATGGTTATCACACAAAAGTCTTTGGAGCATCTTGAACACAAACAGGCTCGTCTGTTTTGATAAATAAATAAAAAAAACACTCTCAAGTACTCAGAGACACGAAGCAGGGACGAGGAAGACTGAACAGTACAATGATCCCAAACAGACTGAAGACAGGACACAGAATATAAAGGTGAACTAATGAGGGATAGTGGGAAACACCTGGGGAGACACAAGAGGAAACAAGTGAGTGTGGGCGGGGCTGGAGGCGAGACAGCAGGGAAGAGATACACAGGGGAACAGAAAAACACTAGAAAATGAAAGCCAAAAACACAGATCATGACAAAACCTAACACACAACTGCTTTAAACTTTCAACTTTTGTACTGGCAGATTTTAATTTAAAACTGTACTCCTGCCTCTTGCTTCATCCGTCATTACAAGCAGAAAAAAAATCTCCCGGTTGGCCCGCAATGCATCTTGGAATATAGGCTGGGCTGAGAAGGATGCACTGGACTCGTCCATCAAATCAGGGTAAAGGAGGCTGCATGTGGGCGGCACCTGAAGGAGCCTTCAACCTTTGGTGCTTCGTTGTGATGTATTCAGCCTTCAAATTCAGCCTTAAAATTCAGCCTTCGCAGGAGGCAGCGCCAGAGTCAACGCAATTCAAGATGGCTGCCACCGTCAACCGAATGTAGAAAAACACAAAAAAAAAAATCTGAAATCATGTCAGTTTCCAAACACTGCATTAAAACCTGGTGCTGTTGAGTCATTCACAACACATTTTCACAGCTCATTCAATAGGATTGAGCTGAATGTTTTTACAACATCTGAAGTTTTCTCAACATCAAAAGATCTTTGTCCAAAACTCAAGAATGACAGCTGGTGAGTGGTTTAACATTTCTTGTAGTCTTTTATTCACAGTGGTGTTTACTTCCAGTCAAGTTGCTTAAACTGAAACCAGGAGGTGTTGGATCTTTTTTTAGTGTGCCTGCAGTGTGTGTTTTGTGTTCGGTCAGTCAGCTGGCCTCCGTGTGCTGATGGATCAATAATCGTCTGACTCCTCACGGGAAGTCTCAGTTCTGCTTCAGGATTCCAGGCAGAGGCCAGCGTGCTTTCTGTCGATGTGAGTTTCCATGGGAACAGTTCAGCAATGTACTGTATTTGTGTTTGTGGGAGTAGTGGGATTTTAGCTGGTGCACCTTGATTCCTACTGCTATGTGTTACTGTGAATGTATGATCGAGTGGTAAATAAAGACGGGGAGGAAGACGAGATGATCACACAGGTCATGGTGAGATGACACACACACAAGTTTGCACAGCTATCCATTTGGGGACAATTCCATTGACTTCCGTTACATTTCTACAGCCCAACCCTGACCACAAACTCAATTCACACCTCGGTCCTAAACCCAACCCCCAACCCACCAATGGCATTTAAACCAAATGGGGACTCAACTTTTGTCCCCAAATGCACCAGTTGTCCCCAAAGGTAATATTTTTGTCTTAAAAATGCACCCAGATGTCATCAGAAACAACCCCCCCCCCCACACACACACACACACACAAAAGTTTGTATTTCTTTCCTCATTAGGACCATTCTTTGACTTCCATTAATCTCCAGTTGTTTCACCTAACCCTGACCCCTTATCCTAAACCCACCCCACCCTCCAGTACACACCTATCTGTAAACCTAGCCTAAACTCTATTCAGACTTTAGTCCTAAACCAAACCCCGAACCAAAAAATGGAGTTCCACCGTATTAGGACCAATTTTTGGTCTCCATAAAGACCACTGGTCTTGACAAGCTTTGTACACCAGAAACAGTCCTAAAATATGACAAAGACAAGTACACACACACATACATACACACACACACACACACACACACACACACACACACACACACACACACACACACA